ATACGGGGGATATGATCTCCATGTATAATACATAAGGGGGGATATGATCTCCATGTATAATACATAAGGGGGGATATGATCTCCATGTATAATACATAAGGGGGGATATGATCTCCATATATAATACATAAGGGGGGATATGCTCTCCATGTATAATACATAAGGGGGGGGGGGATATGCTCTCCATGTATAATACATAAGGGGGGATATGATCTCCATATATAATACATAAGGGGGGGATATGATCACCATGTATAATACATAAGGGGGGATATGATCTCCATGTATAATACATAAGGGGGATATGATCTCCATATATAATACATAAGGGGGGATATGATCTCCATATATAATACATAAGGGGGATATGATCTCCATGTATAATACATAAGGGGGGGATATGATCTCCATGTATAATACATAAGGGGGATATGATCACCGTGTATAATACATAAGGGGGGGATATGATCTCCATGTATAATACATAAGGGGGATATGATCTCCATGTATAAATACATCAGTGGTTCATATAGTGAGCTTGGTGTAGAGTTATTCCCCCTGAGGTCATCACAGAGGACAAGGGGGCACTCTTTATGTCTGGAGGAAAATAAATGTAATCTCCAAATACAGAAAGGTTTCTTCACAGTGAGAGCTGTGAAAATGTGGAATAGACTCCCTCAAGAGTTGGTTCTGGTCAGCTCAGTGGATTGCTTATAAAAAAGTCCTGGATTCTTTCTTAGATACACAGAATATAACTGTATACTAACATTTATAAGGAAAGTTGATCCAGGGAATATCCGATTGCCTCTCGGGGGATCAGGAAGGAATTTTTTTTCCCCTGCAGGAGCAAATTGGATCATGATTTGCTGGGTTTTTTTGGCTTCCTCTGGATCAACCGTGGGTATAGGATTATAACTTTTTTTTTTAAATGGTTGAACTGGATGGACTTTTGTCTTTTTTCAACCAGACTATGTAACTATGTTACAGTAAAAATCAGTCTGTATATGCAGTAAAGCATGCTTGTTATACCCACTGTGGAACCTAAGGGATTTACCCTCTGCATTGTGTCAAAAAGGCTGTTTGATCCTTTCTTCTATGCCCCTTCTCTTGTTCAAATGTCCATGTCCTATCTCCTGATAAGACTGATTGAACCCGTAGCCAATCTGCACATGCTCAGTTTAGTGTGTATTGCTAGAGAGGTTTTTTCTTTTTTTTTGGGAGAGTGCATGTGATCAGCACAGGGCCAATCAGCAATGTCCAGACAGAGGTCAGGGGTTCTGCATCCTCCTAGAGCAGAAAGAAAACTACTTCTCATCCTACAAGCTGTAACCAGTGCTCTGCTGGACACTGATAGAAGTCGCAAGACTGCTGTAACATCTGATGAGAGAAATAATTTAGCAGTTTATATTTACTAATATAATTGCACTTCCATGTTCTGTGTACTGTGGGGGGATGAGATATAGTGAATTCAGGGTCCTGGGAGACCGCATATAGTGAATGTAGGGTCCTGGGAGACCAGATATAATGAATGCAGGGTCCTGGGAGACCAGATATAGTGAATGCAGGGTCCTGGGAGACCAGATATAGTGAATGCAGGGTCCGGGGAGACCAGATATAATGAATGCAGGGTCCTGGGAGACTGGATATAGTGAATGCAGGGTCCAGGGAGACCGGATATAGTGAATGCAGGGTCCGGGGAGACCGGATATACTGAATGCAGGGTCCTGGGAGACCAGATATAGAGAATGCAGGGTCCCGGGTTTAGTAACATTTTAAGGACACATAGAGTGGGGCTCTGGAGTGAGCATGCACAAGTGCCCCCATAGCAAGTGGCAACACCCGATGGGGGAGGAGGACAGTAACACCATCGGGGGACCCGAGAAAACAAGGGCCGGAGCTGATCTGTGCAAAACCACTACACACAGCAGGTAAATATGACATATTTGTTATTTTAATTTATTTTTTAAAAAAAAAACCCAAAGCTTTACTATCACTTTAAGACATTGGTGCTCAATTCCAGGCTGCCAGCAGTGTATTTTTCTCTTGTCTTTTCACAGACTCTCAGTTGAGATTGTAATTTCAGAACAGACCCAACCATTGCCCACAAATATATGACCATTGTCCATTTTATCTCCAGAAAAAAACATTGGCAACAACTTAAAGCACAGCTTAACTGTATCTGAGCACCACAAATTGAAAATGCTATTTATTTCATTTTTAATATTCAAAGCAAACTCACTCATCCATCCAGAAACACCCACCTTGCATTTCTAGCTGTGGCCATTTTAAATAAGGGCAGATGATTCCTGTAGGATGCTCTGCCTGGAATCCATCTGCAGGCAGACAGGAGGGTGTACTTAGCTGAGAAAGCCCCTCCACCAAGAAAACAAAATGCTCATGAATACTCTTGGGATGTATGACATCATATTGGCCTAGGCCAGAAACCGGTAGGCAACTAAAGAGACATAAAAAAGTTTAAAACAAGTAAATACAATGTACCTTCCTATCTATTTATTAAAATGAAAATACAAAAAAGTAAGGTCAGCAGGAACAAAAACTGTAGCTGCTGACTTTTAAAAAACAGCCACTCACCTGTCACTCGGTCCCCCTGTGTCTTCCCTGCAGCCGTTTCACCAGCCGTCTTGTGTTCCTGGTGCCAGCATCTTCATTGTGGGCATCCGGCTGTGACAGCTTGTGGCTTCACAGCCGGGTGCCCATTGCGCATGCGTGAGTAGTTTTGGGCTTTCTGAATGGTCCCCTAGTCTTCTTGGACCTCTCACATGTCCCAGAAGACTACAGGGAGAGGGGGGGGGGGGGAGCGAGGACAACCTCCGCTTAGGCGATCACAGTGAAAGTGTGAGTGGGTACCTGTCAATTTTGGGTACCCGCACGCCAAAGGTGCCAATCCTTATTGGGGAGCGGGGGACCAGTCCTTAAAGTGGAACTTCTCATTTTGGGTGGCGCTCTGCTTTAAGGCTAGCAGCATAAGGGTTAAAATAGTTCATGTTGACTGAAGGAGTTTAGTTTTGATTTAATAACATATCTCTGATATAGAATAATGGGAGTAATAGTTGGGTAACCCACACACAGTTTTAAACATTAAACATTGGCTGTGGAATCCACACATAGGCAATTGCAATTTTCTTCCTGCTGTAATAAGGGATGACACACTCATGCTGCTCTCCTTTACACACTAACATAACAGTGTAGGGTAGGGGCTCAGGGGTGCCCTGGTGTAGTTCCCTAAATTGGACACTAGATGTCATAGTTAGGGTTGGCAACCTTGTAGGAAAGGATAAGCAGTGAGTGGGGTGTATCATAGATCGTGATGAAGTGCCAGCCCTGGCCCTGGCCCTGGCCCTGTCAGCATGCAGCAGCTTGGGTAAGAGGGTTCTGTGTAAATAGTCTGGCAGAAGTCCACTTGGTCAGTGGTCATGGGAAGCAGTGTATTGATCAAGGCATGCAGAGATGTGAGAGCAAGGAAGGAGAGGTGCAGAACTAATGGGACTACTTGCATCCCTTTGGCTTGGGATGCAGGGCTCTGACAAAACCTGTTATGCCTCCAACAGGGAAATTCAACCTGCATTATCAAATTTGGCCAATAGATGGAGCCCAGAATAAAATTACTGTTTCGCAGAAACCTAAATCTGTTTGGTTAATGAAAGCTCCCGTCATCCTTCATTCCGGGAACAGGTTTATCCTGGGAGCTCAGACTCCATCCTCCAACTGAGGAAAAGGAACCAGCCATAATTCTCTGCAGCACATCATGGACTGAACTTACATCTCTTACAGGCAGCATCACTAATGAGCATGGACTTATTGCCATCCACAACAGCCTAATCATTTCATTGTGTTTGTATATTTCGTATATATATTACATGTACTTCTTATCTGTTTTTCATAATAGTTTCACCCCACTTGTTTTGTTTATTAACCTTCAAGATTACATTAAGCCTTGCTTATTACAGGTGGGTTTAGCTGCATGTCAAGTTGAACACAAATAAACATGGCAAGGACAGAACAAAAACCCCTAAAGTTATGGGCTTCCCCTTGAACTGTCGCTCAACTCTTGCATTCTTACCAGCTGTGATTCCTTAGTGATGCTGTGAGTGGCCCAAAGGTGCTGTGGATGTAACCCATTTATGACAGTGCAAAACTTTTCTAGTACAGTAATCATCACTTTAACAGCAATCAAAGTATACAAAAAAAAATCCCTGATCACCCCCCTTCCCCCAGAGTAGCACTATGGTGACAATGAACAACTCTGAAGATGGTATGTAAAAAAATGTAAAACAAAATAAAAATAAATAGTAGAAAAGTTAAAAAAATTGAATAAAAACTTATTTAAATTTTTTAAAAAACTTTTTTTTGCGTATTGTACACTTGAATTGTGCTAATAAAAAAAGCACACTGTTACCAGTCAGTATCCCTGATCACTACCACACCAGTTATTTGATGACGCTGTACTGCACTGGTGGCAGCATGTAAAAATTTTAAAAAACTTGTGAAAAAAAAACAAATGTTATTTAATTTTTTCATTTTCCAAAAAATTGTGAAAAAAATTACAACTTCTAAAAACTCACCATGCCTCTTACTAAATACCTTGGACTATCTACTTTCCAAAAATGAATTCATTTGGGTACAATGTTACATGACGGCGCAATTGCCAGTTAAAGTAGCACAGTGCTGAATAGCAAGAAATGGCTTGGTCAAGTGGTTAAGGCCAACTATGGGAATATGTATTCGCTGCACAAACATACATGTTTATTTGAAATGATTGTACATGTTTATGTGATCGGCACTTTGTAGAATGATTGTTCACTGAGGTCAGGTCTTACTCAGTTCTTCTTTAGCCACCCTTAGTAAGAAAATAAAAATATTGAGGTTATACAGTATGTACAGAGTTCAACTTAATTCTAGATTAACATATCCATACTAGTATCCAAGATAACCATACTTAACCTCCCTGGCGGTATTCCCGAGTGTAGCTCGGGGTAAAGTTTCAGTACCAAAAGTGGTAACCCCGAGCTACACTCGGGCTTACCATGCGGCGTTGCTCAGGGATTCCCTGCAGCGCTTACCTTGTCCTTCTCTCCCGCGATGTGTCCCCTGCAGCGTCCCCGGCCATCTCCTCCAGCCGATGCCAGCATCCGGCTTCCGTGTTCCGGTCCCTGTGACGTTGGGATGTACAGGGGCCGGAACCGGCGGCAAATTTGAAAGTTTTAAAAAATTTCATTTTTTGTAAACAATTATTACATAGCAAAACATTGCTGTTTCAAACCATTTCACATACATTTTGTCCCGAGTGCTTTGTCCTGTGCCCTGCCTGCATTTTTACTGTTCTTTCTGCCTGGAAACTGAGAAACGTCCAAAAAGCGTCCCTTTAGGTCAAAATCGGTTTTAGACCAGCTAGAGATCAGCGATAGTAAATCAGAACCACTTTCAGAATTGAGTGATAATGATTCGTGGGGAAATTCGTCAGACACTGAAAACGATTCTGCGACTTTGCTCAGTGATGTGCGAACTTGGCGCTATATTTCAAATCTCAGTGTTTTTGGTTTGATTATATTATTGAATTAAATTTATTATTATTTTTTTATGATTATTTATTAAATTATAATTTATGATTTCGTGTTTCAAGTTTTATCCTACCCGGGATGTTTACTAGACTCTTGTTTGGACAGATTTCAGTGAGTTATTCCTAAAAATTACAGGTCTACAATAAAAAAACTACATATTTCCATGCAAAATAATGGTACCACTTTCAGCACCAAAAATCTGAAATAATCATACCGCCAGGGAGGTTAATCAACAAGAATGATAAACACATTTGCTGTGATAGAATCAGAACCAAAATGGCACAGCCAGTAGCAAGCTTGTAGAGATAGGATCACAACTGTGGTGATGCAGCCAAAGAAGAAACAGATCCCTAGAAAGTGAATCAGAGCAGAAATGGAAAGTTTTGTTCTAAGAGGAGTACTTCATAATGTGCTAGTATACAATGCATACTAGCACATTATGCCATTGTCTTGCAGTTTTGTTTAGCTTTTTTTTGTTTCTTTAAAGGATTACTACTGCTCTCATCTTCTGTCTGTTAAGAATTGCTCTGTGTAATAACTTACAAGTAGTGATGGAGGAATTTGCCCATGTCAACAGTAGGTTTGATAAACTCTCCAAAAAGTTTGATTGCAAACTGTGAACTCCATAAAAGTCAATGGGAGGCGATTCTTGAAAATCAACTCGGGCCATTTTCAATGCTAATAGGAAAGGGATTTTCAAATGTAGAGCATGGGGAGCTGGGTTCTGCCAGAGGGACATAAACCAATGCAAAAAAAAAAATACAGTTCAACAGGGACAGGGGTCTTCATTTTATGGGACTTTGATGGGAACATGGGAAAAATTCAAATTCCTTAAATTACATGCTTGGTAGAAGCTTTTACAGTTCCATAAAATTATGTTGGACAGTGTAAGCAACACCATATTCTGCTATCACATAATTTGTGTGTATCATACATTTTTAAAATGTTACACTATTATTTGGCTTACATAAAACAGCAACACCCCAATCTGATTCATTTTACATTGTAAAATTTTGCAGGTTGTTTTCACTGTAACACAATTTTTTATATACAGTAGCAGTAATAGGCTAGAATTGAGAGATTGAAGTAGTAGACAAAACAGATCTAAAAGCTATTGGAAGGTTCAAACTTTGAAAAAAATAACGCTAACTCTCTTAACATCATAGCAATTGCCAAGCAGTGGCAAAATATTGTATAGTGTGTGATCTTCTTTAATGTGGTACAAAACTGTATTTCCTATAAAGTTTCATCTAATGTCAACACAGTGCACAAAAACACTTCAAAACCACAACTCCATTTTCCAGAGATGAGGTAGTTGTTATGAAGAAATAAAAATTACAGAGCCATATTTTATATATTATGGCTAGACATACAGTACAGTGGTTGGAAAGTATGTTGCAACTTGTTTGGACAGCAATGTAAGAGGGAGAGACAAAACAAGTTTTAAAAAATTAAAATAAAAATGTCAGTGTATAATGTCAGAGACAAGTGCCAGAAAACAACTGCACGTTATGTAAGCATTTTTAGAAGGGCACATTTGAAGAGGAGTAAGGCAGGTTTCAACATGAAATTAAAATAGTGCTTTATGTCCAGGGGAAGAGGCAGAAATATAGTATAGACATGGTGCACATCATGTCAGTCTTTTTAGTAGGCCGCATTTAAAGAGCGACAAGCCAGGATTTAACATGAATTAAAATTTATAGTGGATTATGCCAGAGACAAGAAGCAGAAAATATTGCACAGACAGGCTTGCACATCATGTAAGACTTTTAATAGGCCACACTAAAAGGGGGACACAAGACAGGTTAAAAAAAAAGAGAAATTACTGCAGATTAAGTCAAAAACAAGAGTTTTAAATATTATACAGTCAGCATTTAATCAGTGTACAGTAGGATGCATCCTGAAAATGACAGACCACATGCAGTTTTGCAGCCCAAAATTCCACATTTAAGCCACAGTGTATATTTCAAGTGAAAAGGAATAATTCCAATACTCCACAGTCATTAGCTAAGCACCTTTAGGTTGCATTTTAAACCGGAGGGACAACAGCCTGCTTCAAACTGAAAAATAAACATTAGAGTGTATTTATTTGCCAGAAAAAAGACTGTAAAATATTGTACTAACTCCCCACACTTTAATTAGAAATTTTTAACTGTCCCAATTTTAAACAGGAGAGACACCAGACTTGTAAGCAAAACATCAGTATTAAAGTACAGTATTTGATCAAAAACAGGTCACCAAAATATTTTAAAGGCTTTATGCACAATATGTAAGAACTGTTATCAGTCTACGGTTTACTTTGGAGAGACCAGGCAGGTTTCAATGAAAAAATAGCTGATAGATTATACCATTTCAGAGAGACAATTGCCACAAATATTCTCAGTTTCCTGGAGCACTGGCATAGGGCAAAATATAATAGACAGAAACCATGATTTAGCCTGCAGAAAACACTATCAATTTTACAACTGAGGAGTAGCTGTGAAAACATATTGCGTGACAGTTTAATAGTAGTTCATTCCAGGCACAATGCTGAAATAACCTTGCAGAAAAAAAATTGCCCAAATTTGGCACCTGAGAAGCAACTGAAAATATGAAGCATAAAAACCTTGATAGTGTAGAAGAACCAGACTAGAGTTGTAGAGTTGGCATGAGGTGGTAATACTGGCAGGCATGCAGTGGTGGCAGGAGATGGTAATGGATGGCACACCACCGCGGACAGTCTTTATCAGCTGAACTCACAAACACCTTTTTCTCATCCTCAAACATCTTTATTGAATGTAGCAAGTTACAGCAGACAACAAGATATAGCACATGAATGAAAAGACGGTATTTGAAAGTCACAACATGGTAATGCATTCCCCTGTGACAGCAGATGAATATGTGGCTGTAAGACTAGAAGCCATCTCTATCCCATAATGCATTGCAAGGAGAAGAAAGAAGTACATCCTACAATTGGGAGGGAACACAGAAAAAGATGGTGCAATAACTAAAATAACCACAAGATGGCAGTATAATAACCAACTATACTGAAGTCAATAAACAATGGCCTAAGAAAGATTAACTATATAAATACAACTATATTGTATTATATTTTCATACAAGAAGTTTAACAGCACACCACCAGTGGTGGTACTATAATGGTGTGAAGTACAATATTTTTTTTCGGACCTGATTGAAAGAAAAAATTGTTTTCACTAATCTTGAAACGGGGTTATAGATGGATAAAAGACATAACCATGTGCAAAGTTTTGCTGGCTGTCACATGTCCTCAGAAATTGACCAGCCCACTGGCCAATTGTCATGAGAACCCCCAAAAGTTTTCCATGATCTGAACACTAGGTAGTGGCTGCAATACAGATTATGCACACACTAATATCTAGCATGTCTGATCTCTCACTCTTTGGTGCCAAAGTAACTTGTGGGACTCCTTGTGCGTGAAAGTGGTAAATAAGAGTGAGGTATGCCAGGATAAAATGACGTTGCAAGAGTATTTATCTGTGATTTAGTTTCTAAGGCTTCTGCTGGCTGTTGCTTGAACTGTGGCTTATCACTGGGAGTCACCTTGTCGTTGGCAGGAGGTGATGTGGTTTGCTGTGTGGATGCACTTGCGTTGTGGACTTAGAGAGCCTCAGGCTTTTGCAGGTTGGAGGTCTCTGTGTTGAGAGTCCAAACAGTATTGTTAGTAAGAGGTACAGGAAATGATCCTGTATTATTGCAAACATTATGCCTTAGCACATATTCACTGGTACGATCAACTGGATCTTCCAGTTCTGCTGCAATGGAACAGTTCAAAAGTGTACTTTCTCCAATTGGTTGTTCAAGGACCTTCAGCCTTGCTAGGGCAGCTGGTTCCTCCCATTCCATTTACAGAATCTTTATTTGGGTTATTTATTATTATTTCTGCAGTTACTTGGTGAGCTTTGCTCTGAGCTTCTATCTCTGCTTTGTGATCTTTGCTCTGAACTTCTATCTCTGCTTTGTGAGCTTTGCTCTGAGCTTCTATCTCTGCTTGGGGAGATTTGCTCTGAGCTTCTATCTCTGCTGGGGAGCTTTGCTCTGAGCTTCTATCTCTGCTTGGGGAGCTTTGCTCTGAGCTTCTATCTCTGCTTGGGGAGCTTTATTCTGAGCTTCTGGAGAAGAAAGAGAAGTGCGCCAGACTAAGTGCAGTATGAATATAAAAGTTTATTGCACACAAGATTATAAAAACTCACAAGAAGTGGGTAGATATCAGGCATCAATATATAAGGAGGAGGATGTCATCTGCGCTGCACCTCACAAATGGATGGCTGTAATGCCAAGGTGTTGCGTGGCTGGCGCTCTAGGCGGGTCCCACAGGAGAAGGCGAGGATGGCAGGCGCAGTAACCAGGAGTCGCGGCGCAGATAAGAACCGGGATCCAGGGCAGGCACTGCTGATCTCTCACATCAGCGTGGGTACAGTAGCCAGCTTGAGGCACATCCAAGATGGCCGCCGGGCAGGAAATGACATCAGGACATTGCTGGGAATCCTCCAAGGGGGCGGTGACGCGTTTCTAGGCAACCTGCCTTTTCATCAGACCTGATTGGCTAGTGGGATGAGCCAATAAATAAGGAGAGGAGGAAGGGGTGGGGCAACTGGGGGGCAGGGTAGTGAAATTAAAAAAATGTATAATGCATACAGGCTTAACAAGCAGTGGTGGAAAAACATAAGAAATAAACGGTGAGCAGCTGCTTTCTGTAGAACATGTGAAAGATGTGAAGCCCCCTTGGAGGATTCCCAGCAACGTCCTGAT